GCGCGACCGCCGGTACTCACACTCACAGGTTCATTGACCGGTCACGATGGCGAACGCGACAAGACGCTTGTAGGCCTATAACCTTTCTTTTCTTTTCTTTTTTCACAAGTGACAGCAGAGAACAAATTTTTAATATTGATTTTTCAAGGCGACACAGCGTTCGTAACGCACAACCTGCATGTTACAAATGTTGCGTTATCTATCCGACTATTACCGGGAAATTTCTGGGTGGTAACGAAAGCGAAAGTAGATCTTGATTCTTCCCGATCAAGCCTCGGTGTCACACATACACTTCCGCCTACCGCCATAGTGGTTCAATTAGGTTCCCTCTTCATGATTCATCAATCAAACTGTCTAGATAGCTTCACTACTAATATTAGACAGGCCCTATCTTTTCCCGACTTACCAACCCATCACAAAATTCCCGACTTTTCCCCAACCTGGTGGGACCCTGTACTTCTGTTCGTTTTCCAAGTTCTAGTGACTCAGAATATGATGTTTCTGAAAGTTAGGATCCTGGATATGTACCCAAACACGGCTCGAGTTGTAGTTTAGGACTAGATCTGGCACTAGTACTGGTGTTCTGAATCAACACACAGCCCTTCTTTTATATTTTCACCAAACACTCACGCAGGCATACAAATCAAAACAGAACACTTTGAACTTTTATAATTGTTGTTGTGTATATTATTCTGTCATGTCTCTGGAGATTTTTTTAAAAAATCAAATTCATGCCATTTTTTTTTTAATCATAAAAACTAAAGTATTAGACTTAAGACAACTTAAATTTTTTGCATTAGATAAAGCTTGAATGTAACTTGACTGTGTCAAAAAATAATTACAATAGGGCAATGCTGAGAGTTGTGGTGGTGTTCTGAAATACCCCCCAAAATGCTAGTATTCAGCGCTAGTGACTGGTGAAAGGGGCCAGTAGTCAGTGAGTTAACATTCAATAGACATTTTTGAAGTTATAAAAACATGAATAATAGGAAGCAGTGGCTTACCAAACAAGTGATACAATAAAAATAAGCCCTTTATGAGCATACTATCCATTACAATAAACTGGGCGGACTGGAACTACAAAGTCAATTCTTTATAGATATCTTTCAAACTTGAGAATGACACAATTCTGCCATGGAAGTACGATTCCAGAAACTTCACGTTTTGATAGGGCACCATCCCAAACCCTTCCTCTTATGGGTGACATGTTTCTACAACTAGAAAGTTAAAATGCTACTTCTTACATACCTGATCAGTCACTGAAACATCTGCATATTCACAAAAAGCAAATCCCTTAGTAAGACCAGTGGCGCTGTCTTTGACTAAGTTAAATGCACTCAACGGCCCAAAGGAGACGAGCAGTTCTTTGACCTGGATGAAACAATTGAAAGTTATAGATTATATACATGTTCAAAAGTATGCTTCAAACTAATGGAGACTGAACAAAAAATAAACAAAAGCCTAATGTACTCAGCAAGTTACTCGGGTCAACTTAAAAGTACAGTGCAATAAGGAAAGTGTGTTTTCATTTACCATACTATCAGTTGATAAAGTTAGTCAGGGTAGCTTTCGAGTACTGTGCAACATAGAAAGAGTTTTGAGGCATACCAAATTACCAGTTGAGGGGGGATATAAACACTCCTTGTAAAAGCACAACTGTAAGGGAGCTGCTATTGCAAAACGCAGCTACGATATTCAACCACACAATTTAATTCTTAATTTACACACACACACAACAGAACATTTTCTGTCACTTACCTGTATCCATTGTAACTATTAACCAACTTTTAAAAAACATGTACCACACCTTAGTCTTTTGTCATTTCTTTTTTTATTTGTTAATGTAGAAATCAAGTCGCAATGTATTTAACACCCAAACTGAGAAAGTTGGAATGATAGCTCCTTGCTCTACCCAACAGACAGGAGATTGCACTTGCCTGTGTCCTGGTTGGCCACACAAAAGTAACATTGTAGTGGTAATAGTGGTAAGTTAACGCACTTTCAACCTCTTTCCCTAAGCTAGGGAATGAAAGGGGGAAGAAACAAGAAGAAATATATTTAGTTCCTGTATTTGACAACATGAAACAAAATAAACCTCAGTAACTTTCACTGATTAATTAAAATCAAATGAAAAAATAAGTAAAAAAAAAAAAAAAGTGTTCCCTCCACAGGCTGTAGACTTTTGACTGAACGAAGAAGCTCATTGGTGATAAGAATTAAGTTGAAGAAATGTACAATTACTTTAAATGTAAAATCTGAAACAAAAATTTCAGAAAAATCAATCCTGCAATAACAAACCCTCCCAAAAAAACAACAACTGGAAAGTTGACTTGTCTTCAACCGACGACGGTTCCCAAAGCAATGAGAACCACTGCTATAAGATAGAGACGCTGGGAAAAAAATCCTGAAACAGAGACATTTCTCATATGCACGACCCAAGCACGACTTAATTCTGTGGATTAAAATTTCTGCTGAAAAATGCAAATAATGCACATAAAAATACTCTCACAAATATACCATTTCCAAACCGTTGGTTTTCCGTTCTCTTGAAAAAATACTTCCTACAAGTAACATAATTTCTGGGGGAAAGGACATTTTCAACATAATGTAAATTTCACAATGAGCTTCTCTTTCAAGGTCACGGCAATCCCATCAGCAATGGCATGATTTGAGACCGTTATGCTAAACCTGCTGTAGAGGAAAGAAAAAAAAATCGATGGCAAGGTCGGACAGAACCAGCCTATCAAGTGTTGTAAACGAACAACCTGTGCAAACAATGATGCCCGTCACATCATTGTCTCTTTCCAACTGCGCATCATTTCTAGACCTGCAAGAAAGCCCACATATCACGTACCTGATCCTCGTTTAGATAACTTGGAAGTCCTCCTATAAATATTTTGTGTGCAGAATCTTGAACAACTGTTGATACCACACCTATTGAGAAAATAAATTTTGAAGTGTTAATGCATGATGCAAAAGCCAACTTGTAGCAATGACAATGAAAAATTAAATTTTTATCCAAACTTCTTAAAAATGGGCTTAAATGAAAATAGAGTACATTCTAAGAACTATGGTGTCTAAATTTTAAAAATCTATTGATAAATGAAAAAGTTAGTGGGATTTTTGTTTGCAAAATTTTGGGGGACTTTCTTATAGGAAAATATCGCCAAAATGTGGGACACATCTTGATGTATTTTGAGAAAAAACTGTTCATAAGTCAGTAATGAATTGGGAGTATATGAATGAAACTTGGCATCTTCATGTGATTTTTTGAGCAGAATCTAGTTCTGCTATCACTTTTTCGATGTTTTTATTACTTTGGATCTTAAAGACTAATATTTGCGTGACATCGTTTTCATCACGACACGATCACCCCTTTCAAAACTCAGTAAAGCAGTATCTGGAAAACCCGCAATGAAGTCATCGGTGACCTATTTAGTTATAGGCAGCCAATCACATGCCGCCTAGCGATCACACGTCCCTTGCATGCCGGCATCTCGCGTTAGGAATTCGTGATCTAGTTTCCAGCTCTAGTGTTTTATCAATGGATGGGTGGTAATTTTAAGTTGGGACGTAAAATGTACTACACGCAAAGATCTGAAATTTTACAGCAACGAAGAAGACATGTGGGGCGCCTGTGTGGTCGGCGATCAACCCGCAGCTCCGCTTAGTTTTCGAACCATAGAGGAAATTCGCACATACACGGCAATTTCTCAGATTCTAGAAATCGTTCGGGATTGTACGCTGGCAGGTCGTTAGTTTAACCTTTCCTCTGATTGGTTGTCGAGTTTCATTTATTTTCATCAACGAGTTTTCCCGTAACTATATTTAGAAGAGGGTCCCTTCTGATTCCGAGCCGCCCAAAAATTACCCCTTGCGCGGAGGCAGTTTCCGGCCAAAGGTGTAGCGGGTGATTGGCATTGCTACAACTTGTTATAAATGCACCGAGTGTGTGTGTGAGTGAGGGAGGGATGGAGGGAGGGAGAAAGAGAGAGAGAGAGGTGATCTATCATGTCTTGTCTAGGTGAGTGAGATGAGGTTCAATAGGTACCTTTCCAACCACTGATAATAAATATTGCGATTATCTTAACGATCATTATATAAAACACTTTGAACAGCGTACACTTTGGATAGAAACAACAAAACAAAACAAAAACAGAAAAAAACCAAAAAATTGTTTAAAAGCAAAAACCCCATATCTTCTACAGCTCAAGATAAGCTGTGAGGATACCACGGACATGAAAACTTCCAATTCCCTGCTCAGTAACTCCACTTCCACATTCCCTGCTCAGTAACTTCACTTCCACATAAGGCAATTCAACATTCATGAATTTTTACCTGGCACTGCAAGAGTCGGATTTTCTGCCATTCCAGGCAAAGGCTTGTAATCACTTGGTCTTCTGATCTTCAATGGTTGACCCTGAAAGCTGATGCCATCAAATGCAAGAGCCTGTGTAGTTTCATCCACTGACCGAAACTGAAAGAATTTAAAAATCTGAATGAAGAAAAAGTTCATAGAGGGAGGGTGTAGGTTCTATTAAAACAAAAATAGGCCACTACAATATAGACAGGATACTCAGTTTTTCTTCATAATCAATGACCTCATAGCAACAAACAAGACACCCCTCCCTCCCAAAAAAAAAATATTTTAAAATCCACACACAAAAAGTAGGGCTTCAATCAGACGACCAAAGTCCCTAAACATATTATTTTGTTATTTTTTAATCTTGCAGGGAGTTCCAAAAGAGAACCAGGTTAAACAATCAAAGTTGTGTTGTAAACTAACATGAAAACTAACTGGAGCCTCAAGCGCTCATCTGACCTAATGCACTTGCGAGCGCCATAAAACTGTTACACTCGCACCAAACCCCCCACCCAAAACCAGACTGTAAAGATGACAAAAACTCCACTATCCTTTTACAAAGGCATGATCACGAGTTAAAAATAAACCATTTGGGGAGCCAATAACCCCTAATTTTCTGTCTGCATTATTTTGAGATCTACTGTTACCTGTAGACAGAATGAAAAAACCCTCATGCCTACAATTACAGTGCTTCCACAAGCTGAAGCTGAAAATTCTGCCGGAGGTCTGGGAACCGCAGGGGCCCCCAGCTGGGTCCAGGGACATTGTCCCGGCAGGGTTTCAGGGGGCTAAGCCCCCGAAGAAATTGAAATTTAGTGCTTTTAGAGGGTTGAAAATGGCATTTGGGAGCCTGTTTGAAGAGATTGCCTACAGCCCATAAGATTTATTCTTTCCCCAAAATTTTGTCTTGTTTGAATTCTTCACCAACATATTTTCCATTGCTGGCAATGTTTAAAAGGAGGTAGACCTGCATGTGAGCCTCAACCAGACTGTCTGAAAATTTTGCGCAACCCCCCCCCATAAGAGCTTTTGTAGGTGTCGTAAAAGGAAGGACTTCCAAGTAACGAGCGACCACCCCAACAAACACAATATAAAGAAGAGACCTAAACCTAACCCAAACCCTTCCCCATAAAAGAACCTGCAACGGCCCTTATGTAAAAGGCCAGCACAAGTCAAAAATGAAAAGAGAAAAAAAAAAACAAGAAACAAAAACAAAACCCCCAAAACAAAAGCATAACATGGCCTACCACTTTGCTATAATACGGTTTGATACAATAACACAATAGAATTGGAATATGAATCATCCATTTAGATCTAGATCTAGTAATCTAAATAAATCTAGAATCCAGACTCTAGATTTAGAAGAACAAGTGAATAGGAATAGGAGGCCTTGAACAAGAAATCCGCATCCGATTCCGAACACTCGAACAGAGAGAGGGACTCAGCTGATGAGTCAAATAAATAGTTCACGCACCTGATGAAATGCGTTTTACCAACATTAATATTACAGCACAACCTATAATAGGGTTTGACACAATAGAATTGGAATATGAATCCTCCATTGAGGTCTATAATGATCTATAACTCTAGATTTAGATCTAGATCTAGAACAAGTAAGTCGGACTCAATCTAAGAATGAATCCACATGAACTGTCAAAAAACTAAATTCAAAATTGCCGCTCTAGCACGAAACTGAAAGTAGATCATTTTGGTCGTCGTCCTTTTTCGTATTCGTATTTCTACTCAGGTTCCGACAATTATGTCGGAAACGCCGACGTCGGCAGTCAGTGGCCGGCGCGAAAATGAAAGTGCCGACAAAGCCGACGGGAGAAAAAGGGGGCGCTGGCAGTCGGCCAGGCCTTGCACTTTGCACATTGACTTATACAGTGTACAGGTAGGCCTAGCGATAGCATCGGCCGGCTCGCGGGTCGGGTCGTGATTGTCCGATTTCAGACGATTGTCGGCAAATATGCAGGTCTAAGGAGGTTCCCCTTTCATTGCTATTATAATTCAATTAATTTGCCTTCGCACCATTGATAGCAGGCAAGCCTGGGAATAATGAATAGATACCTTCACAATGCAGTTGCCCAACGTATACCCTAATTTTACCTCAGTTTTCACCTCTAAATGTCGCCCATCATAACCTCGGAACACCACTTCGAATTATTCTTGATTTTACCTACGGCTGGATCGGGCCAATCAGCCAACCCGATCGCAATTTGAGGCGACCGAGTCGAGCGAATAGCCCGATTGGCCGATCCCATCTGTAGTGGGCACCCCGTATCAGCATATATATTTCTTTCATCGCGGCCCTTATTATATTGCGTTCATGTGCCGTAGAATCTTCGCATTGATAATTTCTCTAGATCTAGACAAATTTGCAAAAAAGGTTTCTTTCTGACAGTAATTTTCTGTCTAAGATCACAACTCAATTTACTTGATCAACGCACAGATTTTCAAGCCACAGCAACAATTCGAAGATAGACAGAAGGAATGAGTGAATGATAGAAAGGAGGAAATTGGCACAAAAAGTTTGCCAGATTTTGACCCATCTGCAGGTAGAAAATGTACTGTCGACCAACCCGCAATGAATGCACGGGGCATAGCAGAACAATGGCCGACTGAAGGAAATGAACAATCTGGCAGGTTTCTATAACATTAACTTATTTCCGAGACAATTACCGTAAATATCCGTAACTTATACAAGACAATACGAAGGCGAGTATGGAATTTCGTCAGTCCTGCGCTGTCGCAGTATTTTACGGAGGGAGTTGATAATGATGGAGGAACAAGTACAGAACTGGCAGATTTCAAGAAAGATGTAAACAAATTGAAGGGAGAAAAACCACCAGTACATACTTCTAAAAATGCAAAATTTTTGTCTAAGTTGATTTGAACGGCAATAACAGGATTGCCCTCTGCCTGTGCCAGACCAGTTATTCTCATCTGGTGGTTGAAGAAATCCATCATAGCTTCCTGTTGATAAAAGCAAAACAAAAAATAGGTCAGTACTACATTTTTCCATAACAACAATAACAATTTTGAACAGTTTAATAAAATCTAAGTGCTTTGACCTGAAATACAGAAACTGTCCACACATTTTTCAGTTGCTTAAACTCACGCAAGACCATCCCAGATTTAGAAATGATCTCCATGGGATCAGCCCTTTTGACAATTTTTTGAAAAGCCACTGTCGTGTTGCATTTCTATATCTTTTTTAATGTAATAAAACCCAAAAGGTACTAACCTGTTTGTCAATATAACAATACACAACTGAATAACTGTTTGGATCAAAACACCATTTCTACCATTTTTTTAAAATGGGTACATTTAGAAGTCAGGGAATAAAGAAGGGCTGAGATGCAAAACCTGCTACATCCATTTTAGCACTTTTGAGAAAATCAGCCTTTAAAAAATGTAATGCCTCTATACGCACGAACTGATTGCAGAAAGTACAACAGTGAGTGGTAGGGAGCTGGTTTACCAACAAAGGAAGCTCGACTAAAAAAAAGGCAAAACCAGCTATATCCCGAGAAATAAAGTCCCTTGATGCCTTACGTCACTCTTTCCTTCTGATTATAGCAACAGTAGTCCTAGTAGTCCTCTCTTCAACACTTTACCCTCATAGAACAAATGATTTTTTTGTCTGCTAGCAGAGGGTGGAAGTCTCTATCAAACATATTGAATGAGCTGTTGTTTTGGGCTGATCAAAAGTACTGTTTACACTCGTTGGCGCCCTTTTGAAGAGGAAGTCACGTGAAAGGATTGGGAACATTCATTTGCCGAAAAAGAAATTTGTAGGATGTATCGAGTTTAGGAAAATTATGATTTTGGATGCATCAGATTTCGGGTAAAAAGATTTTCCAGTGGATTTTAGGAAGGATGTGTTGGGTTTTGGCAGAAAACACTTTGTGCATCTGACGGCTGGTAACAACATGCATTTATAAGCCAAAAATCTCGAGCTTTTCCAAAATGTCGCTTAGCGGGTTTGTATCCCCCCCCCATTCATATTCTCTGCTTGTTGCTGCTGTATTTTGATTTCAGACAATTGTATAAAGTTGTTAAAACTAAACAAGTGAATCCAGATATGCAGAGATGCCAACCACAGAAAACCGAAATGAGTATTGGGAAATATGAAAATGTGTATTTTCAGGGAAAAATGTGTATTCCCCACGACCGACCCACCAACTAGTAAAATGTTCAAGGTGTCCAGCAATATTTCCTGAAAAAAATTACTAGCTCACCAGCTCGAAAAAGGGAGCACACAAGCGTACAATATACATGTATCCAGTCAACAACATGTTAGTAGTTAGTGTTCAGTGTCGTACTGGGGTCTTGTTTGACTTAAGCATTTCAGTCTATAATATTTTCGTCTCATTATTATATTAAAAAATTAATCCTGCTTTGAGCGTTCGGAAGGGCCTAGAACAAGAATTTCGACTATCAAGAACCAGTCTGGGTGTCAAGATTCATGTTATGAACTGACGGCTAAAATTATTGCTCAAACTCAGAGAAGAGCAATAACTTGAATGGCTCAAGTAGACCCACGCAGTGTGAGAGTTGTTACAACTGCGGGAGGGCAAGATGCAGTGACTCTGAAAATCTTTTAATCTGCCTGGCTTGAAAGTTGAACAGAAAGCTACAACATACACTGTAGGTATAATTTACTATCACCCATCCAATGAAACGCGAACACTTTATTTCAATCACACAGACTTGCAAAGTATGAAGGGTCCCTATTCCGCACACGGCCTGCACCAACGCGCGCTTTGCAGAGAGCTCTAATCAAAATACAGTGGAATCCACTTATAACGAGTCCTGAAACAACGAGAAGTCTATTATAAAGACACTTTTCTAAAACCCCGTTTTTTTTTCCCTTTACCCATTTGTAAATAAAATACTAATATAACGCAATCAGACAAACACGTTAGTCGGTTATACCGGAATATAGCTGCTGCTGTGCACAGAGCGTAGGCTATTTATTAATGTAAAACCTCGCCAGTTGAGAAACTTATTGATGATCTAGCGAAACAAAGAATGGGAGACCCCACGAGTGCCAACAATGAAGGCCTGATTGAATGAGTGCGGAGAGTGTGGCATGCACAGACAAGCAGAACGCATCGTGTGATAGGCCAGTAGAGTCTAGATTATCTAGGTCTACCATGCCTCTCACTTCACCGATGCGGGGATGGAGAGGTCATAGTGCTGTACTGTGATGGACGGAGTGAATGTGTAAAGTGGGCGGGGTGTGGTATGGTGGGGGACAACACAGCGGGCGAGTTAGCCTAGAGAACTTTCTTTCTGATCGCCAACGCCGAGCTGTCAATATCGCTAGCGTTTGAGAAAGAAACCTGATTCAACTTTTGATCAAGTAAGACTTAAACTACTTAAAGGTCATGTTGAACCAAATCATCATCAGGGGAGATTACAAAAAGAAATAAACCGAAACCAGACTCGTAGATAAGGCCTACTTTACTATTTTCCTTGAATTTATTACTGGGTCCCTTATAACGAGAATCTTGCTATAACGGACATTTGACACTGGTCCCCTCCCTCTCGTTATAACAGGATTCCACTGTACTGAAATTGCTTCCAAGTTTTTGTCCTCTGGTGTTGCCTCCCCCCCCCCCCCCCCGTGTATCTTTTAAAAAAAAATCAATAATCCCCTCCCCCATTCCATAGTCCCATGCTTCGACACGCCGTCATTCCCACCAAAGACGGTCTTTGCTCACATGATGCCGTATTTTTATGATGCGAATGCGCGCAGGGTCACTGACCGGTCACGATGGGGAGCCAGACAATCTAAAAATGGGACGACGCTTGTATTTTCTTTTCGTTTTTTCACACAAGCGACAGCACAGAGACGAGTCGGAGTATTCATTAAATTTTATTTGCACGGTGACACAGCGTTTATACTGCACAACCTGCATGTCACAAATGTTGCGTTATCAGACTACCGCTGGCAAACTTCTAGGTGGTAACGAAAGCAGATCTTGATTTTCCCGATCGAGACTCGGTGTCACATACACTTCAGCCTGCCACCTGTCCGCATGAAAGTGAAACGTACTCTCGGACGGGGAAAAGCTGAACGAATATAATATCACAATCGCGACCTGCAAAATTGAACTTACAGACCTTATCGGGCTTGGTTTTCAAATATTCCAGTTCCGCGATACCGATACTATTTTGACAAAAGATGGGGCTTGAGATAATTAGGATTACTCGCCTAAGCTGAATCTCGTATTTTTCGCATTCCAGGATGCGCATTTTTTCATGTGAAGTCGTATTCGCGTATTTTCGGCAAAAAATCGTACTAAAATACGTAAAATCGTACTGGTTGGCATCTCTGAGATATGTGAGTGGACACATGGAAATACCTGTCACACATTGCAGACTATAAATTTTTGTTAGGCCTATTTAAAGCTGATTGCCTAGTATCCTGATTTTTAGATTTTCCCTGCTTAAAAGACCAATGTCATGTTCAACTCAATCCAAAATTTTAAAGCTGAAATCTAACTCTTAATTTATAAATTTGACCTATTTCTTTGTGTGCTGGGCAAAATAGTATACTAAATCTTGTTATACTCCTTCAAAGGGCTGCAAAAGCATCAAGATTAAATATTTCACTAAAACTTCTCGGTTAAAATTGTTCCTATGCACTTGGAAGGGAAACTGAGATATTCCACTTTGGTCTTGAGTAAGTAAAGTAACTTCATTATAAGAAACAAAAGAATTGGAAACTGCAAACAACAATGCATGTTAAGGGGCAACTTTTGTGAGTTCCATTTCTCATTTTATATAAGTGACAGGACATGACTTCAAACCAACATTTTCGTTGGTATTGAAACACATTGAGCAGAACAGAGCATAAAATACTGTAAAAGATATGTCAAGATCTTTATGGGAGATATGAGTATTGGAAATTTTGTTAAATATCTGTATCCCAGCCACTAAACTTTAACAGTATCGAAATATTTGCTGACAGACTGCCAACTTGTCTGCTTTACACAAAAGTTTCAAAAACAATCGCAGTTCTAGTATTAACAAAGCAAGATGATAGACCGAAGACAAACAGAAACAACGGAGGAGTAGAACCTGTGAAAAGACCCATTCCATTTCTAACCAGCAACAATAACAAGCAGGTGTCACACAACCTATAATGACACACACTGAGAAGGAAAAGAAAAATCTGAAAGACAAAGATTAAAATGATTAATAAGTGAGCATGGATTCCCAAAGCAGCCCAGCTGCACTCACGTCGGTCATCCCGAAGGGAATACCGCCCACATATAACCTGCGAGCTTGACGACTGAGGGAGCTGCCAGCATAATTGACACTGGCGTCTGCACTAGTGGGCCCGACTGCAGGGGCATTCAAGGGCTCCGATGGGATCTGGCCGGAAGCTAAATGGAAACGAGAATAGAGAGAAAGGGAAAAGTAGGCCCCATGTTTTTTTTCAAAATAATGAATCAGAGGGTCATGTCTGAAACAATGATGCACATTTGACTAGAATAGGAGAAATGTAAAAACAACACGTTTTGTTATTTTAGTAAATTGAGAATTTATTATAAACTGTCTCCCACTTTATTTCCAGCAATTCGGCATCATTAAATCAAACATGACACATGCCATGTGAATGTGAACAGCAGGTTACCAAACACTCACGTCAGTCATGCCAAAGGGAATATTTCCCACATAAAGACGGCGAGCTTGTCGACTGAGTGAGCTCATGCCAGGAACCTGCGTAATGTCTGTTGAGGCCACCACTGCGGCAGGCATAGGAGCTACAGGTTCCGTGGGGATCTGGCCAGCCGCTACAACAATCAATAATGGGGCAATATTGGAGTGTGCCACGCCAGTTTTCTTTGGAATGCTTTTTTTTTCTTGTTTTTAATTCTATCTTTCGAGTACCTTTATATTTCAGGTCATTTTAAACAAAAGCTCACTTTTTACAGAAACAAAAAAGTATTGTTGTTAGATCTTGTATCAACTTTTGTTCTGAACAAATGTGAACAAATGTTAACCTTTATAAAGCTAAGCCCCCATTTAAAGCTAAACAAATGACAACAGCAAAAGGATAAAATCTACTCGGGACTAAACAATATGTACATGTAAACTAACACACAAATGTATCAAAATGGCACCCCCAAACCGGTCGGGGGACTGGAGATTGCCACACTGTGGGTGGAGTGAGAGGAAACTAGATGACTTTCCAAAGATTATTACCACCACTGCTTGACAATTAAATAATGAAAATAAATCAATACAATTTAACCCTTTAAAAAAGATTTCTATTAGCAGGTCACATTTGAAACCATTTACATAAACAGCAAAAATACAATCTTAAAATTATTTGCGAATCACTTAAAAGAGGGAAATAAGTACCTTGCATGGCCTTGTACTGTGCTGGAGTAATGTGTTCATATCCAGGAGGAGGTATGTCCCAATATTTGTGTGGTCTTTTTTTACGTGGTTTTCTTGGAGATCGACTGAAACAACAAATATCCTTAAATGCGAGAAGTGCAAAAGGCTCAACTGGACATATCAAACATGTATAAAACAACAGTCAGAAAGATAGCTAGATTTTTTTTCAAACAACATTGCACTGATATGTCATTGTGCTAACAGGAAGAATAAGGTCAACCCTTTTTCAATTGCTGAAGTCACTTTGCAAATCCTCACTACAAATCTTCCTATGAACAAGGGTAGACATCCATTCCAATTCATATGCTCATCATTTTATTGGATTATGGATCCATCCAAGAAAGTCTGATACATTTCGTTTTATTGTCACCCTTGTGCAAAATCAGCAACAAAATAAAAATTACACCTTAAAAATACTAACCAACAATAACAACAACAATAACAACAACAATGCGGCTACTCTCGATTGGGACCTCAGATGGGAATGGTTTGTTTTCTTCATCTTGATCAGTCCTGCCTAAGACGACCACCTGTCTTATACGGCCACTTTTCTCCTTGACAATGGGTGGCCGTCTTACACAGGTTTGACTGTACTCTCTGGAAGGCAGGCAGCGGCATGAAAATCCCCAGGTACCTTAGAGTTGTGGAACCTAAAGTCAGGTCACTAACAATTAGGTACAGAAAAATGGGAAGACAGAATAATATCAGGGCTGCCCACTCACCAGCATTTACTTTAGTAATCAGTAAATACAAAATTAGTAAATCTGATTCTAACATTTGTAATATGGCCACGGACAGTCTTCCCTGGGGTTGTAGTAAAGGATAAATGTAGCCTAAACAAAAGTGCTATTAACAGAACATAAAAGCAATATATAAAGGCTGCCACGAGATAAACATTTTCAAACTGTACATTTACATGATGTCACTTCAGTTTTAGTAGGAGTTTTACAGCACTTGCAACACATTCATTAAGGAAATGCCAAAGATTAGAGGAGCTACAAGAGAGTAACAAATACAAAAGAGATAAGGACGACAGATGTTTAATTGGAAAGAAGGAGCAAACCGCACCAGAGCACCCGCCAACCACATGCAGATGACGTCACTTTGCTATAATAATACCTTCTTGATCTCTTTGGCCTTGATCTCTCTTTAGACCGCGACCTCTTACGGTCTCTGCTCCTGGATCTTCTTCGAGGGGACCTTGATCTCTTGCGATCTTTATCCCTTTTTTTGTCAGATGCAGGGTGTGAGGATTCCTCTGAGAAAACGAAATCTCCATGGTAAAAAAACATCCATTCATCATTACTGAACTATGCTTTGATAAGATAAGTAAGCAAACTTTTTTCATTCGAAGTGTATACAGACCCGGTAACCAGGAATAAAGTCACGAAGTATACAGACCCGATAGGGGAACTCTTTTGTGATTTCGGAAAGTTTCAGCGCCCAGACCCAGTAGTGTGTTTATGTGTGTGTGTGTGTGTGTGTGTGCGTGTGTGTGAGAAAGAGAGAGAGAGAGAGAGAGAGAGAGAGAGAGAGAGAGAGAGAGAGAGAGAGAGAGAGAGAGAGAGAGAGAGAGAGAGAGAGAGAGAGAGAGAGAGAGAGAGAGAGAGAGAGAGAGAGAGAGAGAGAGAGAAGTGCTAGCAAAATGTATGACATGCCCCAGTTGGCAAGAGGGAACGAGACAAAGATAAGGGAGGGCGAGCGATACACAGAGGAGAGAGAGAGAGGCAGAGAAATAGAGAGGGTCACTGCTCGATTGAAATTATGCAGTTCTTTTCTTCAAATAGTGATTCCTCCAACTCCAAAACGGAGGGAAAACGATCGTTCTTCGAAAAGACATCCGCAATCTTCATTTAGATCTAGATCTAGGCTTGCCTCGAAACTAGATCAATGATTTATGTCTGTCTGTCTAGATCTAGACCTAGGCCATAGCTAGAAGAACCTAGGTCTTCCCTGAGCCAAGAGGGCGCTGAAACTTTCCGAAATCACAAAAGAGTTCCCCTACCGGGTCTGTATATTTTGTGACTTTGTTCCCCGTTACCGGGTCTGTATACACTCCCTTTACTTTTACTCCCCCGCCCCAAGATTCTTTTTAGGCTGTAGTAATTCGCAAAGGGTGTGTGAATACTATGGAATTGTATTCGCACAGGGTGTGCGAATACTATGAAATCTTATTCGCATAGGGTGTGTGAATACTATGAAATTGTATTCGCACTTGGTGTGTGAATACTACAAAATATTATTGGCACAAGGTGTTTCAAAAGAAGGATGGAAATTAATTAGGCCTAGCATTTCCTCATTTTTTTCCCCCTCATCGCGTAGGGACAAAGATCATGTATTTATAAGATAGTTCACTCCTCTCTTTGAGCCAATTATAAAAGTGTCCTCAAAATATGGTTGCACCCTCTTCGAAAAAGTGCGGACTTTGCGAACAGTTACCCTACTTGTGTGAAAAACAAGAAAAGTAAAATTAACATACTGTGCTTATCCTATTCTTCTTTTGAAGAAACAAAAGAGAGCTTCAAAATAAAGACTCCAGCGACACCTGAAGCAATGCGCGGACTTCTACAAACACTTTTCAGGCTGAGTGAACAATCTTGCTATGTGCTATCTTTGGTAGAGATAGATCTAATTCTAATTGTGCAATGCGATACGAAAAAACCCCACTCAATTGGAATTCAAGTTGTGTATTGTGTCAATGATAACGACTCAAATCTCCCTTTTTTTCGTTGTTTTGTTTTCCTTGCGCCTTGAGAGAGAAAGAGAGAGAGAGAGAGAGAGAGAGAGAGAGAGAGAGAGAGAGAGAGAGATGAGTGCATGCTTTAACCCTAAAACTGAAACAAATATATTATAATTAGTATACCAGTAGTTTTAACATTTAAAGCCTTTACCGAAAGGTGGGATACTCGGGTGAGACAAACAAGGTCCAAAATCAACGTAGGCTCAACCCTGTGCGAATAGAATTAATTCTTATGCGCACACCCGGTGTAAATAATCACTTCCTTCTTTTAAGTCAGGGGGGTATGCCCTACTGAAACCCCCCATGTTAAAAACAAGTAAAATATTTCTACGCCAATGGTCCTACTGTAATATACCTCTCTGTTTGCAAACAATAATAACTCAATAACTATTGATTTGCGGCAAAAATGAAGGTGATATTCGTGTTCACTTGCAAAATACTACTTGAAAAAAGTATACGTGTACATGAGATGTTCTCTAGATTAATTAAATTATCCGCTATGATAGCCTGGGCCTAGATCTACATCAACATGATGGGGCTGACAAAAGAACAATGCATAAATGATAATTGAAGTCAGGGTTGGGTTGATTTAAATCAGTTGATTTTTTTTATTTAAATCAACTTGATTTTTTTGATAAAAATCAGTGATTTAAATCACTTTTTTTTAAATTTATTTTTATTCAGTTTTTACATATTTCAACATTCAGAATTCCCTTCCTTGGTTTCATAAAACAGGTATAAGGTTAAGTAGACTAATATAATTCATGTTTAAAAGTCT